TAACTTTGCAGCTGTTTACCTGCAGTCTTGCGCAAAGCTCAGAGCAACATGGAGAGGAGCATTTGGGGTCTCAAATTCTGAGAACGCCTGCCTCTCGCCCAGATCTTCCAGCGCTTGCACTCCTTCAGAGTTGAGGCCGTGGGCCGTGGGCGCTCAGCTGCATAGGCTGGAATATCAACAACTCTTAAAGGCCATATGCATGTGTTCATGCCCATGCGCCTTGCGTGGGCATGTTAAGGGTCGCTCTGGGCTCCTCTATTTTCTCGTAAAGCAATGAACCCCCAATCCTTCTAGCACCAAGGCACGACTCGCAAGACGCCATCAATACAAAATCTGAGTTGCTGCATTAATCATATTAATCACATCTCGACCCAGACCAGATCAGAACCGTCGGAGAAGGTTCTTCCTGCCTGTCCCTTCTAGCAGCCCACGACAGCTGATGGTTACTTATGCAGGCTTAAGCCTTGCCCCAACTTGCCCACTCGACTCACTGCCTCAATGAAAAAGCAAGTTCGACAGGCGGGACACATGGGGTTGGGCCATTACTAATCTCTCTTTGAAGGCACAATGAAACTCCGGCTTCAGGCCAGGGTGCAGTTCCGCAGGGGCAGTTGATGCGTGCACAGCTCCGACACCCAAGTCCCAAGTCATCAGCACCGCAGCGGCAGTATAGCAAGTTGCCTGAGCAAAAACTGTGAAGCACCAACATGCCCCAGTGTACGAATTCATAGGTAACGGATTCGGACCATGAGTTTTATCCTGGACCGCTTGATTTGAATAGAGGACTACTGGGCTGCTCACTTACCTATAGTGGGCCAAATCAAAAATGGTCAGCAGGAAAGGCTGACTGCTACACTGAACCTCTTTCAACCAAGCAACTTGCGGGCACGGAGGCAGCCTCCCAATCCTGCGAATCCTCCGAAAGCAGGGCGGCGAGCTCGTGGGCTGCCTCCCCCAGCAGACACACTTTCAAGTTCCGAAATGCTTCACGCTTCTTCTTGCTTCAGATTCGCTGCTTCAATTTCTTCGACAGGAAGCTTCCTGCGTTGTTGGCCTCAGGGTTCTCCGCTGTAGACGGGGGCGAAGCTTTCACCACCTTTTGAAAGGGCTAAGGACTTTCACGAGCATCTTATTTTTTTATTTTGGGTACATAGAAGTCCCTTGCATAGATTGCATAATTCTACATCTTATATCCTGGGCTTGCCTTCCAAATACCCCGCGCAAGCCCTCAGTAGAATCACACTGAGCAAGCTCGCTCAAGCTCCGCGAGCCTGGCTGCCACGTACATGCGCCGCTTGTGCACACTCATTGCATCGACAGCCACGCCCCAACTGGAAGATCCTCCTGGACATCATGCAGTTCATGCATTTTAGCTTTGGAGCTCAGGGCTGCAGCGTCAAGGAGCCGTTTTAGAGTATCTGTCTCTTAATTATTACGTAAGCTTTTGAGGCTTCAGAAGCGGCGGGTCAGGTCTTCCAAGTGCCACGTGATCACGTCAGACATTTGCAATGACCTACCAGAGGCCTAAGTGTTTTCGGACTCACGAGCATAGCACAACATGGGGTGCCGTGATTTCCTGTCCTTGTCTTGAGATCCTCAGCACAAGTCAAGCTGCACGGGCACTTGATGAAATTGCCCCAGGAGCCTCAGCTTAGCATCGAATTCGTCCTAATTCTGCCTAAGTCTGCCAAGAGACAAAGGCTTTTGGGTTAAGGGCTCTGCATGTTCAACAATCAAGCTTCAGCGCTGCGCCAACGACGCATACGATGAAGTAAAGACCACAAAAGGGAAAGGTATACATGCGCGGGCTTGAATCGCAAGCAAAAAGCAAGGTTCATGTCCTCAACCTCCCAACCCGCATGCGCACATTATGATCCCCAGCTGCTGCACCCATCGCATCCCATCGCAACTCTTGCATGCTTTCGTCCTACGCGGCCTCAGAAGCGACTGACTCACAATTAGTATCGGGACTAGTGGCCAGACACCATCGCAGAGACGTTGGATGCGTTTGGGCCGGATAATTGTCCCGCAGCAGGCTCTGCAGCTGTCCTGTTCACATCAGCGGCGTTGGCCTGCCAAGGTCTTTCTTTAGGGGACAGCCTTTTCATCGCAAGCTGAAAGTTTTGGCGAGCGCTGATTCGTACACTTTTGTCAAATGGCTTGGCCATCATCTCCCGTCCTTCAATCGCAACGAAATTCGTCCTGCCTGCTAGGAACCCAAATAAACCACCAAGCGTCGCGTAATTAATGCGTTTCGTGCATGGAACAGTTCCGCAGCATTCGAGGGCACGCTTACCGTAGACCCACCTGCTGGAGGGCAAGTCAAGTTATGAGGATTCCAGGGAAGTATTGGATCGCATGAAGTCGTTGCAAAACAAGTAACAAACATGCTACGCCCGCAAACTCACTCGCCCACTCATGCCTTTGCTTGCACGCCTATCTTGTTTCGGTCATGCATGTGTGAAAAATGCATGTCAAATATCATCCATCCATATTGCTGATGCAAGAAATACTCCACCACCCTAGTCCAGCAGTACTGCTCACAACCATTCCTGTCTATTTCCTTCACCAATTCGTCTGACAGTCAGGGATTTTCTTGGCTGTCTTTCCTGGCGACACCCACTCAGGCATTCGCCGCTTTGCGACCTTGCGTATCAATGCATTCATTCAGCCGTAGATGCAACACATTGGCCCATCATTCCTTCGATTCATGGATGCCACGTGGCCATCCGCCCCTTCATGCACTCATTGATTGACTCTGAGACTTTCTTGTAAATCCGTTTTGTGAGCTGAGACGTAGACTTGGGCCTAGAAGTGGGTGCATTACTGCAGTCCTTGCAGGCTAGCATGAAGATCAGCAGAGCTGGCAGCGCCATGGCGATTGTGAGCTCTTCCTATCTTGGGAGTGTGGCCACTTGTGGGCGAGTCTGAACCTACAACGCTCTGCGTAGACACGGCGGACAACGGGAATCGTCTACTGTCACAACTCCTGCGCTCCTGCGGGAATGGGCACGCAGGCTGAAAGGTTTTGGAAGCACGTTTGCAACCTGGAAGCTGCCTTGGCTTTTGCTTGAGAATGGCAACATCAGGTTATTTCAAGTGAAAAGGGAAATGCTTCGGTTTGGAGGTTTTTTGGAAACACTTCAAGACTTTTGGTATCAACAGCTGTTGATAAGGGCAGTGAAAGTGGAATTCACAATATAATGCTGCACTAGGGCGCGAGCAAACATGTCCGAGGAAAAGCCTACAAGCCTACCCGGCAAGCCCCATGTCCTACCGAAAGAGCGAGAGTCACAAGTAAAACGACATAGAACCTGCTTGTTGGACACAAAATCCATCCTTCTGCTTGCAACTCTTCAGCTTTTGTGGAATTAGCATGATGAGCCATATGTACAAAGATATATATATATATATATTTTTAAGCACATGCATCTATTAGAGCTTGGGGCTCCTGATGTCGTGGCTTGGGCATGCTTGGGCTATGCACGGAGCAAGAAAGACAAAGCCCAAAGCTCACAAATAGAATCAACTCCTTTGTACATCCCCGGGACGAAAGTTTCGACATACGGAGGACTTCCTCGTAGGCTACAGTATGCTACAGTACCGCGGAGAAGAAGCGGAGAGGGCAAAAGTGTCATTTTACATGGCCAGCGTGGCGGAGTAGTTAATTTGCAGGAATACACTTATACTATTATAAAGTTCCCGGCGGAGAGCCTGTGCTAGGAGTCTAAGGAGAGAGGGGTTGCCCTTGCCGCGCATGTTGCATTGTTAGCCCGCGTGGCGAACTTTCGTCCTACCGCAGTAGATGTCTCTTTCCTTTATTCTTTTCAACAGTGGTTCAGGTGACCCAATCCAAACCTGCTGCGAGTGCTGGCTGACAGGGGCCCCACAGACATAAGAGCATCGCGGCCTTTTTGCTGATGAAGCAAAACCAACAAAGGTACTCCTGGTCTGTTCGGCTTATGCCACTCTATCAGACTCTGTCGCGTCACCTTTGGCCGTATGTTTGCAGTTCTTTTGCCGCCATACAAGAACGCCTACTTTGCTTCTCGCATGTCATCGCTTGATATGAATTTCAGAAAAGGGTTTCAGGACAGGCCACATCCCAGCACAAGAGCGCGCATGACGTGAGGCACAGCTGGGAATGCAAGCGTGTCCCTCATGAGAAGGGAGAGGATCGATGGCTCTTCCTGAAAGGTGTTGTTTGTGGCTTGCTGGCTTCGGTGGTTTTCCTGACGCTCGCTGGTGCCCCACCCTCGCGTCACGGATTGCGGATCGATGCAGCCTGCAGCATGCCTGCACATAGTTGAACAGGCCACTTTGTCTGGTGTGCAGTGCTTGCAAACTTCAGTTATCTGCACCCTTCCTGGTGGGCCTTGGCTGCGCACTTAGCACTGAGCTGAGGGCTTGCCGCCTGTACGCAAACACGTTGCGGTCAAGCTCTCTTGCCCGTCTGTAGCAGCACATTTGCTTCGCTTTTCGCATACGCAACCCACTGGGTCATGGCATGCGTCCTTGCAGCTATGCGCGAACGGCTCCGTCTTAATGGCGCCAAGAGATCAACATCTACAACTCAAGTTTTCAGGGAAGGTTCTGCCTGCTTTGGCCGCGAAAGGCTGTCGTTCCCATTTTAAGTGAAGCCGATGAAGGTGTGCCTCCAGTAATAGCAACGCGCAATGGGCGAAGCGCAGTCATGCTGTTTATCAAAGTGCCTTCATAGAATTGCCGGAATCACTGCCACCACCCTGTCTGCACACACTTTCTCACAAATTGATTGCAAAGTGCTTGCAAACTCTGCAACCACCTTTTCCAAGAAGCCTTAAGGTTGAAAAGCCACCAAAGAGAGCCACTTTGTGGACTCAATGGAAACTCTGACTGCACGAATGGAAGCTCAGTGAAACAGCCTATGTTAGCCGCAATCTGGACCGATGCAATGAGTACTTCATAGTCTGTGCATTTGCTGATGCAATACACTTCTTTGGCCCCTAGTACATACAAGGTCAAGGAGTTGGCGTTGAAGGAAAGTCATCTGCCCGTCGAATGTGGAGGTCGACGCTGCTGGCACTTGGCGTTCATAAACATTTCTCGCAGTTGTTCAGCGCATGCGTCATGACACAAATCCTGGGCCCTGGCGACTTGAGCTCGTTGGCTATTAGTTCTGCATCACCCCAAACGTCGTTCACGCGGTCTATTCGCATCTGGCACATCAAGAGTGCTTGCTTGTCCAATTCCAGAACCAGTCAAAAATCATGCGGGGGCCAGCAGACAAGCTGCATGAAGACACCAAAATTACTTCTCAGTGACCTCGCTACATAAGGAGCGCGTTGCCGAAGAGCTGCCAACCTCCGGCAGAACCACGAACGCATACCTTCCCAACTCAACCTGCGTGTGCTTCAAAGAAATTCAGGCGCAGCTTGATTAGAGCAGCACAAGGTGGCAAACGGAATGCATATGCTGCGAGGCTCTTGCCTGGTGCTTATTGTAAGCCATCAGCGCACCATCATCAAGCACCTGGCAAGCAGCTCGCACATGTCTACTCCATAGCGGGTATGAGCCTGGAATGTGCAAAATGTGCTGTATCGTACTGAGCTCCATTCAGCTGACATGAATGCATGCGCCTGTCCCATCTACCCAAAGCACGCCAAATGCTTTCTGTGTCTTCTTGATCCCGGGGTAACTTTTTTAGGACAGCATCGCCCAGCTCTTGACATCGCCCGTCATCGTCACAGATACCAGGACGGGGCCCAGGACAGGTGGAGGGATTCATAGTACTTTGTATTACAAAGTCTACAGCAGCACAGGACAAAGGACAGTTGGAGCATGCAGGCCAGGGCAGGATAGCACTACAGCTACTTGAGCGCCACATCAAATCTCAGGAGGGCAATCCTTCCCCCTGATGGGAACCAGTCCAGGCCTGTTGCGGGCAACGCCTCCTTGCGCGCAAGTCCCAGCATCCCTACTGCGGGCCAGGCCGCCTTGCCATTCGTGGGCCCATTGTTTCTCCTCTGGGCCACAGCGTGGCTTCCAGTTACACGTCGATATGTGGAAGTGGCATTGTTGCTGGGTGGCGCAGGAGCTGGCGCCACCAGCACCGCTTTTTCAAGCTGTACGGATTGCTCTAATGGTGAAGGATCCCCTTGTTTGATACGATTGATGTAGGCTCTGTTGTTTTTTGGAGAATACTACGCAGTGTCCTGGTGAATTCTCCAGCGATCAATATAGGCATGCCCATGCAGGGGTCATTCGTGACAGGGTGGACATGCTGTTGCAATTTATGGGCTCGTGCTTCCTTTTCAGCATGGGGTCCGTGCTTTTGCAAGATGTGACAAGCATACACAACCGCTAATTCCGAGGGAGTCTTGTGAATGCTTCTCTGTGCGAACTGCGGTTAGCCAATTTGCGTATCCACATCGGCAGTGTTGCAGTGCAAGCTCCACATCTGTGGGAAAGCGATTTTTCACCTTCTGGCGCAGGGCTGATAATGGCCCTCAGGCATTGTATGCGACCATACATGAGGTGGCGTTAAAATTACTTGCTTGTTTCTCTTGGTTTTTGAGTTAGGGCGTCCCCTATCGATTTCCACGTTTTGGGGATCTTCTCTGAACCATACCTTGAATGAATTAAGCCTATAGTTTTAGGACGTCCCCTATCGATCTTGGGGATTTTTGCGTAACAACTACCGCCTAGACTAAACAAAGTAAACGGTAATTTTGACCGCGACTCATATGGCTTCTTGTCAAAACCATGTGCTCCGCGTGCATGTTCCTAGGCTGTCTGATCCGGGTCTGGATCGCGCACTTGATCCGGAAGGTCTGGAACGATGACTGACTCTTGCTGGTTCCCACAAGTGATACGGGGTGAGTATGCGCTAAACGTTTGGAACGGTATGAAACCGGTATGGAACGGGCATGGAACGGACACCCAGCGCAATGTGAATTTTGGTTGCATTCGTCGGTCTGGAATGGAGGGGTCTAGAACGGAATTTGAGACCTTGTTCCGGAGCTGGATCGGGGTCGGATTGGGATGCGCGCTCGCCCTTGTTCCGGACCTTTCATACTGACCGGTAGCCATATTATATCATGAGGACCACCACTGGCCAACTACAGAAGTGTCCAAATCTGAACGAACAATGCGAAAAGTGCCCTGATCTTCATGCATGTCCGCAACTAATTCCATTGCCTTGGCCCCTTTCTCTAACACAATGTTGAGTTGTAGTCTGCCAAAAATTGTTCGTTCAGTAATGTGACGGGTACAGATGTCCAGGCAGAAAAGCTTGTTTCACTAAGGACGCTAGAATCTGCCAGCCTCTGTGATGCGGACTTCTTCAGCAAAGGTGCCCTGGGGCCGCTCGAACCGAAATCCAAGTTTGCTTCCATTTTCCTCAGAACGGGAGACGCGCTGTCAGGCAAGTTGCAGAGAGGAACATTGCGCCTTACTGAGTCCGATGATGAAACGATCCGGAAACCTGCACAAGTTTGCATAATGCATCTGGCAATCGGAAGAAGGCTCACAATAGCCACAGTGCCATAATTAGCAGTTTTGTGATTCCCGGATAGTCCCGGATGCCCCGACCTCAAGCAGCTATCGCGGACAAACCTTCGCCCCCTCAATGATTGTGAAACCCTCAACTTCTTGGGTAATTTGTATGATTCTGTATGGGCACACTAGGACTAGGAGGCGCCATGACAACAAATAGGCGGCTCAGTCGGCCTAGACTATGCGTTGCATTGCCCTTGCGAGGCTCTGATGCATGGATGCCCCAGACTAGCCTCACCATCTGCAGGAAGACACGCTGTGCATGAATCTCTTTGGCCATGGCCTGCCGGCACTCATCCATGTGCAGAAGAATCCGAACTCAAAAGCCAGTCGCTGGTAAGCAGACTAATATGTCAACCCAAACAGTCACGCCACGCGCCCTTCCCAGCCTCAACGTCGGTCTGGTCATTGACTGCCATAATTCGGTCCTCGACTCGTCAGAAGCCATGAAGCTTCGATACATGCAGATGTTTGCAGATGTGAATGCAAGCATGGCCTGCGGTCGTACCTCCAACTGCGGAACACGTGCATTCCACTTCTGCAGAAGGCCGTCAGGATATATCCTCCGCGTGGAAAAACATGGGGGGCACAAGGGGGGAAAACGCCTACCAAACAGAAGATGAAGGTTGGCCCGCAGCAGGTAGGTTCGCAGCATCTTGATATCGGTTGCACGCCTGCCCTCCCTTAATCGAGCTGACACAGGTGCCGTCAGAGGTCGCAAGACTCGAAAACTGTCCACGGCCACCCCAGGCCTGTCTAATCACCAACCCCCCCCAGCCGGCATCAGCATCTGGCCAGATTGCGTGGCGCCCCACATACCGCATCAGGACAGATCAGCAAAGCTGGGCTTCAAATAAGCTGTCGTAACAACTCAGAAAGCATTCATCTGCAAACATCTGGAAGTTGATGCCTCTTCACTACCAACATGTGTGGCCCAGGTAAGCGTGGGCGTCTGCTTGACCTAGCAGCTTCATCCGGTGCTTGGCACTGCTAGCTGAAGAATGCACAGGCCAAGTATCTGACTCAGACATTTTAGCATCCAGACGGATTTCGAACTCCATCTTGCCGTTGGCCTAACCGAGACGCACATTCTCCGTGCGTGCAGGCAGGATGAACTGCTGATGCCTGTGCGAAGCCAAACTTGTCGTGGGCCATCTCCTGGCGGCTGTTGATAAGCAGTCCAGGCATAAGCGTAGAATAGACAAAGAGAGAGAGAGAGAGAGAGAGAGGGAGCCAGTCCTTCTTGAGCAAAACTTGCCAAAACAAGCAGCCATCTTCTTCTTCAATTCCAGCCTGCATGGCAGTTGAAGCTTACCCCGGCTGCGCAGCGCAAGCGTGACGAGCAGCCGCATAGCGTTTTCGAAGTCCGTGTGGAAATGACACTGACACTGACTATCACACCGCTATTGGTGGTTGTGATGACTTCACCTAAATGCAGGGTATCGCAGCAACCGAAGCGCCATGCAATTGCGGCGCACGAGGTCCACGAACGGAGACGACATGTACATTGAGTGCGTTGCTCCGTTGTGGCATGTTCATGCACATGTAGCTAGGCATAGCTAGCCAGCCGGGCCCGTAGTGACCTTTCCTCCACTCTGAGTGCCTGGATTGAAAGGGTAAGTTCCGTAGTTCCCACCGTGTGTTGTGTACTCCCAACGTTGCAGAGAACGCCGTCACAGCAGCTGTCCTGTGCTTCCTCTGCAAAGACCTGCTGCGAGGCGAAGGAATCTGTCTCCGAAGCGTGCTCAGAGGCGTCAGCAACCTCTAGCATTTTGGGGAGAAATTGGAGTTTGCCAAGCAGCGGAACTCAGCCAAACACCTCTCCCGTCAGCACAGATTCGCCAGATCTGCCCGTCTCGCGGAAGCCCTGAACAACAGAATCACAAGCTACATGAAAGCTCCAGTCCTTGTGACCTGTAGCTCCGGGAACGTGGCCACAAAGTCCTTCAAAGTCTAGCCGCGAAAGTGGCAAACCAAGGATCATTCGACCGAGCGTGTATTTCACGAAGTGTCCTTGTATCCGGTAGAGTGTACCGCCACACTTGTGAGACAGTCGCGGCAAAGATCAAAATCGCACGGCCGGCATCCATACAGTGTTGTGTTGCTGGCAAACTCACCTGGACAAAGGGAAATAGTATGCGGCAGGTTTGCAAAACTCGCGGGCATGCAAGGTGTAACATGCTAATTAAGGGGACAAGCTAGACAACACAACTGACACTTGGGCAGCTCAGCCTTCTACCAGTACCAAGCCAATGCCAAGCTCTTCTTCAGAGGGAAGGAAAACAGGAGGTGCGCAACAGACTAAAACATCGCGGAGCAAACCCTGTGATCAGAAAAGTTGCACAGGCCCTCCCAATCAATTCCCTCAAAAATTCAGAGCCCAGTGGGCGTGTAATTGCTGCCCCGGCATGGGCGACATAAAAACCAAGGCCCATCAAGAGGGCGCAGGCTCTCGCAAGCTGACAAGTTTAACAAGCTAAAAACAATCTGAACTGGATGTCCGAGGGCTGAGCATTCGCAGAGTGAACAGAGAAAGCCATCTTCTGGCGTTTCGAATGCCACTAAGTCATGCCCGGTTGGGCATTTGGAGCGAGGTGTTGGGGTTAGCGGCTCCTGCACCAACAGAACGATGCGCTTGATGTCAGCTTGGGCTGGCCCCTACGCAGCTCGTGCGACTATTCAGACGCACTACGAACTGGTTTGTGGAGTGATTCGGCACTGTAAGCATGTGTAAGGAGTTTCTTGCAAAGGCCGTCGCTCCTGATTCTTGACTCACGGCGCTTAGGCTTGAAGAACTATATGTCTCGGAACCCCTGCCCATGAGGTTTCTGCACACCCGTCGAATCCGGCTCACTTCTTCTCTGATACAAGTACAGTAGCGTCTGCTCTCACCATTTCATGAGATTCAGCAACTTTTTCTGCAAACAAATCGTGCTAGCTGGGGATCATCTCTTCGCACCAGCTCATTGCTCTTACGTGGTTGGCAAGTGTTCGATACCCTTTGGTTGCTCTTCCCACAGAGCCGGCTGCGCCAGCAATGATCTATGCAAGTAAAATCTCAGAGTCCTCTTCTTGCTCAATTTCTGTCTCGACCTCCCGGCGATGCATGGCATAAGTTGCATTTTTTCAGGAAGAAAGCCTTCTCAGTCGGCAAGAACTGTTGAACTTCAGCGCGATCTGCAGGCCTTCAACGTGGCAGCTTCAACATTTCGGAACGATCTGGCAGCAGAAACAAAGCAAAGCTTTGCAGCTTTGCTGTTTCCTTACTCGAGAACCACGTCAGGTGCCAGACACTGGATCTGATGCTTCGTCTTTCTTTGCGTGCAGCAAGTGCACAATCGACCTGTGCACGGGCATGCAATAGCATACGCAACGTGCACGACACAGGTTACCTGTTGAGATATGCATGCAAGGGCTGGCGCATTAGCCGCAAACGGTTTCCAAACTCGGTACACTGAAGCTCGTAAACCCGGATTCGGAAGCTGAGGCACTGAAACAATGACTTAGAAACCTAAGTTCGAAAACTATTCGGAAATTGGAACATTACTGACTGTGCTATTCGGAATGCTACCGCTACTGCGGACTGCAAGATTTGGAACCCCAAACTCATAAACTGCATTGTGTGCGAACCAGGCGCAGAGTATATTCCTCGGAGCTATAACGCCAGAACCTAGATGTTTCCTGAATTCTCTGTGTCAACTTTTTGTGTGCATGGCGAGGAAAGGGTAGTTTTGACAAATGATTGTGCATGATTTTCCCTTTGCAACTGCACCAGTGCAATAGCAAGGTAAAAGTAAGCGACTTTGATATAACCCAGAAAATACATTCAGCTGTTTCTTGTGCAATACATGGCAAAAAAAGGGTGTTAACAAATACCTCTATTGAAACTTTGCGAAACTTTCCCAGTCTTTTATAAGAATTCCTGTGCATCAGAGTCTTTTGTGCGACTGCAAGGCGAAGGAGGGGAGGGTTTGACTAGTGTGTCCATTCCAGACCCAAAATTCGAACAAGGGATGCGCCATGTGACCTCAAGAGGAACATGAATCCGACTGGAGCAACCTCCATGTAATCCAGTGCGCTCAGCCGCAGGAATGCAGCTAGAGTTTCACCATAGCGCGGCATTGAAGCGTAGGGCAGGTGGGTGGGGCGAAGCGAGCCATGGCAAAGTATGCACCTTGAGTGTTGAAGCGACAGCGTGTCATTTGTTTGCTTCCAAAAGGGATGTTCCTAGATCCCAACCAGGCCATCTTTTACAGCAGCGCACATCCGGTCTTCCATGTCTCTCCATTTTTGCTTGTGGCGAGTCGTGACCATGACCGTGTCACGCATCAGTGTACACTGGAAGAATCGCATCAGATCTGCAAGTGTGACTTCCTGTGCACATGCAATGTCAAGATTCGCGCGAAAGATCCAAAGTCTCCAAAGTCTCGTGTATGGTGACATCAGGCAACAGTCGGTCGGAAAGCGCCCGGGGCTGCGAAAAAGTCCACTGATCCATTCGTTCTCCTCTGACGGATCATCAGAAGGATTGGCGACATTGTCATTCAAACCAAACTTTTGCCCATAGGGCCATAGGGAATGAAGGAGAAGACGAGCTGCGCCAGCTATGCGAATGATAGCGCCCACGTCGCTGCATCCATCTCTTACTGAGGTTGCAAGACTTGCTACATACTGCCACGTCTTGGGGACGTTGAAGGCCAAACGCTCACATTTATCGTGTATGCACGATCCTGCCCAAACTGCCTGCCCCTGTGCCCATGCGAATAGTACAGATGGTCTCTGACGTAGCCGAGTTCTGGCTCCTCGGCGAGAGCATCTCTCAACCTCAGTTTTCTACGCGTTGCGTATATAATCCCCCAAGCCGGGGCACTGGCCTCGGATCCAGGCCTCGGACCCGAGCTGGCGATCCATGGCAGATCTGGTGAATTGTCCAGTGCACCACTGCTAGCTATAGACTGAATTTGAATGAAGCTTCCGCATCCTTAGATGGCCTGGAAATGACAAGGTCACCAGGAATTCCTCACGAGAAACCTGGGACGGGACTGGAATGTCCTGGAGACGCCTGAGTGTTCGATATCCCCAACCAGATTGAGGCCGATGGGGAACCTTCAAGGCTAAGCAGAATCTGGCCACTTGAGGAGCATGGTGCGTGTAGAAGAAAAGCTTTGCCACCGGAGACAAGTCCTGAAGAAAAGCCCTGACGCCATCGAAGGCATGTACAACTCGGTGCATCTTGCATCACTTAGTCTATTAGCACCGAGTAAGAAGTGGCCCCCAATTTGCCAAAGTTTAAGACGCGCACTCACAAGGTCAGTGTCCACAGGAACGTCGAGGGCGAAAGGGGAACTGATAGCGCGCGCCTGGTTGATATGCTGTTCTTGAAGGGCAGCCGGCGGCCAAGTCTACGTTGGGAATCACCTTGCTGAACTCCGATTGCTGCATGGAGCAAAGCACATTTGCGCTGACCAGCCCGTAACCGTCCTCGAAGACATCATCACACCCTCATGAAGAAGAAAGGCCCTGTAGCTAAAAAGGTTCTTGCAGCCGTCCATGAACTTCCTGCCAGGGCGCCGCGGCGCCTGAGTACACTACACCCTGACAAGTCCAAAAAACCATTGAAAATTTCTTGGACGAGCTGATCTACACCATCTTCCCTCGCATGGCAGCAGCAAGTACTATCCAATCAGATGGGGATCCTGGGATGTAGGCTCGGGGGCGCTGCCTCGAGACACACTGCAGAGACCGCGGACGGCAGCTGCAACAAGTGGTCACAGGACAAACACCAAGCAGGGGATGTGCAGCGCAACCCGGCACCAATCCAACTAATCGCGAGGCTTCAGCAAGTCCGCTAACGGGTCAATGCGCAGCGTGTACCCTCTTCCCAACTGAAGTTGGGGTGGCCCAGGCTTGGTTAGCTCGATAACAAAGTCACACCAAGTTCCCTGCTTCTGGGCTGCAATCCCTGCTGGCCTAGTGGTGGTGGAATACTCATTCCTGGCCCCAACCCAGAACAAACGGTTCCGCTTGACACACCCAAGAAGTGAAGCGTTCGTCCGGAATGACCTGGCCGCCAGGATGCAGTCGCATCGCTTGATGGCCGACCCCGGGAAGTAGCCACATGCCACATGAATGGTCTGACTTCGACCCTCTGATCAAGTTCCGCAACTTCATGAACAATACGCGCTAACTGCCACATACGGGAGTCAGATCCACATTGGAAAAGCTCTGCCCTGCGTGCTCAGCTGCCACAGAATCTTGTTCAATAGCAAAGCAAAGACACACAAACCGTTTCACAAACCCCAAGGAAAGACACGCCAGACTAGCACCCCCAACACCGTGATCAAGAGCATGGCGGCAACTTTCCCCTGTCCTTCCACGCTACTTGCGAAGCCACAGATAGCCTGGGCGAAGCTTCAAAGGGGGAGCAGCTGACTGGAAGCTGTGGCGCATGATCTGAAGCTAGCGCGACTCGCCTGCACTCACTGCTTCCCTTCAACTCCACAATGCTGCGCCGCGATCTTCATGGCCTAACCCATAGCTGACTAACCTCCTGCGAAACTTCGGAGACACGGGGTTAAGCATGATTTTAACCTCAACTGCTGGCACTCAGCACGCCTGCGTCGACCTTCACAGCCTCGGGCGCCAATGTTCCGGCTGCGCAAGTGATACCCATTATCACCCTCTTGGGAGCCTCCCACCATGTAGCGTGCACGATCGTCATTGAAAGCCTTACAAGTACTTGTTGCCCTTCAAGGTCGTGATAGTGAGGATTTTGAAGATGCTTAGGAGGATAATCGGGGTTTTCTGGCTTCGCTGGACCCTGCCTAGGTCCTCCAAACAATACACGCCCTGGACCTGTGACGCGGGACATTTCACAGTACCCTGGAGGCAGGACTATCGTTGGGCATAAAGCGCTGCCAGCACCTTCATATTTGGGCCCATGCAGCCTGTTACAAAGGCTCAAGCATTAGCGCGCCATGGCTGGATGGGTAGAAGCGTTGGAAACTGCTTCTGCTATGGCGTCTGAAGCCGTGTGAGCAAACTGCCACGCCACGCAGAGACGTGAAAGCTGCAGTTGTCAACTGATATCATCTTGGCTGTAGTAACAGCGCCCTTTCGGATATTCACGCCAATTCGATTTCCCAAGGGCCCGTCGAAACGAGATGGAAAATCTCAGAGACTTGTCATCTGTAGCATCTTTTTCATATCATGACTCATGGGGATTTGCAGTTCAGGCTCCACTTTGACACTCTGACTGTAGACCACAATGATGCCAGACCTCCATGGGCCGCATGAAGCTGCATCACTTGCCCGAACGCAATTACGTCACCAGCACAGCAGCACAAAGCTTCAAGCGTTACAGCAACATTCCTGGCATGCAAAGTTGAAACCAGCACCTCTTACGGGGATCACAGCATACACCCAAAAAGCAGCGCAAAGCCGCCTAACTCAAGGTCCCCCCCCCGTTCTCCTGCATGCTTCGGACAGCTTGTAAAGCAACACACAGCTCAGCTGGCAGATGCACGCATGCACTACTACAAACCGTCGCTCTCAATATCCTGCAGTTGAGATCGCGAAAATGAGTCTGGTGCAATCCTCCAACGCAGTACAGGATGGCATTGAATTGCATTGAAGGAGCTGAGCACCCAGTGGGCTGTGCGCTGGCCAACAGCTCTGCAAGTCCTTCCTCTGCCCCGCATTGCCTGCTCAAGACGGGCAGGTACGGGTCCGGGTCCGAGACTGCCAGGCAGAAAAGTAATCCCTGGCTGCGACTGCCACGCAAGCCGTTACCGGCCCAAGTTAGACCAAGTCAGAGACAGATGTTCCAAGAACTTTCGACAACACCTCTGCGCATCTTTAGAGAAGGACGCAAGATGCCAGTTGCGCGCGCGCAGCGACGTAGACTTTGTTGCCCTTGAAACCGTAGACGCTGCTGGCGTTCGCGTACCTATTCGCCGCCTGCCTCGTGCCGACGCGGACCAAGGTACCTCTAGCATCTCAACCCAGGCATGATCAAACAGAGGAGCATTGGATAGCATTGGTGACGTACGCCGAAGACCAAGCTGACGACTTGTCCCTAAACGCCTAACCTTTGAATCAAACGTGGGATAGACTACGCTCACGCTGTAGCCATCAACCCATTCAGCCAATCAGGGCATACCAACAGACCACGATCTGCAAAACGCATGTCAATCAGACGCCCTGCGCCTACCGCTCACGTACCATTTCGACGTACCATACCACACGCGATCATCCTTGGGGATAAAGCAGCCTCTTAACATGCCACCAGGGCCTGAAAGCATGGCGTAATGATTGCCTGAATGGCCACCCGGGCTGTGTCCTCCCGCCCGCCGCAGTAACGTCAACAGCCAACAGCGCGAACCACGTGATCATCAAGGAATTCAAAAAGGTGTAAGTGCGAAGGGCTTATGGTCTCGTCAAGTCAATCAAGGCATCCGTGGATCGTGCCTACGAAGACCGGCCAGCGACTGGGCACAATGTGGCCTCGCTTAGCCAGCTTGAAAAGACCACTGGGCGCAGACTCTCTGGAGGCACACCGAACGTTGTCCCTGGCAGATAGGATTCTGGCCCTTGTTTGCAACGCAGGTTGTCCGTACCAGACACAGCAAAACCCCAAATGTCCCACGGATCATCCCACAATGTTCGTCAGCAACGACATACTGTCGCGAAGCGAGGTGATAACGCGCTCCTGTTCCAATCCGGTAAGACTGTAACTCATAGCTCTTCTGTACTTCTGCACCAGGCCCATGCTGGCAACGCACCTCGCATCCTCTGCCGCTCCAGCTGGAAGATTGTAAAACCATATGTTGATGACTGCGCCAGCCACCTGCATTGCTTTCAAGCAGTTTCCTGCCTCATCCTGCGCAGCACTTCCGTGCCTCATCAGCACTTGCAAAACAGAATGCAAAATCAGCTGCGCTCTTAATCCCTGCAGGGGTCGAAACCTTCCCATATGAGGCGTTCCTGCTGAGCGACACCTGAGGATGAGCGGGATCTCGTCTGTTTTTGGCGAATGGCGCGAGTTGGACCGTGACGTGGTCGCCAATCATTTTTTGTTAGTTTGACCGAAGCCACTGGTTTTTGAACATTTGGATTCGGACGCTTGCCGAACAGGTCACCAGGTTCGAAAGTTGTTAGGCACTTCTTTGGGATGGGATTGCGCGTGATGGGTGCGATTTGAGACCGCGAGGTCCTCAGCAGAAATGAAGTTTTTTGATAGTGTCAGGCAGCGCAAGCGTGGAGGGCTCACCTGTCTATTTGCCTCGCAGCTCAAGGCTTTTCGGAAATGCATATGTCCTGCTCAAACACCTGACGCAAGCATGCCGCGACTAGATGCATTTGGTTCTACATCCATCAGCTTCTGAGTGAGACCGTACTTTGCGGCGGCTAAGAGCTCCCAAAGAAAATTGCTACTCCCAAGCCGGTTGGTCAAGCAATCGGCACACATGAAAGAGCCCGTAACCCAGTCTACACATGCATTGAAAGCACTCTGTGCCATGACTGCAACATCAACTTGGACTCATCTGCACAGACCAGCTGCACCAGAACAGCGGCGCTACAAATCATACAAAGCCCCGCGTTAGTAACCAGAACACTCTCTTGCATATCCTCAAGAAGCCTCACTACACTCATGCTTTCAGCATCCCGATATCTACTGCCATCGTTGACAGAAGTATCAGGAAGGCAACACTCCGCGCACAGGACTCGCAGCCACTCAAGCGTTGCCAAACCATCATCCATGGCCAGAGCTTCCGACCCTAGCGTAGCCTTGACTACGCGTTTCAACTTCCTGCGAGGCCCTGAATTGACACAGCATCAGTAATCTTCAGCTCGTTGATGGCTTCGTTCAAGAATTTTACGTGGCCCACGGTTTGTTGGTCCGCTGGCCGGCCATGACATTGACATCGCCGCGGCAGCCCCCGGTATCCGGATGAGCCTCCTTTGCTACTCACAAAACTGAGGCCCCAGCTCCTCGCAGCTGGGAAACCTCAGTCTCAGTCAGCAGCGGCTCGTCGGAAGTGGCCCGGCCCTTCTCAATTTCATTGACGCGTAACGGCTCACGTCGACCTGGATTTCATGGTTCTCAAACTGGCGCACCGTCCGCCCCAGGTAATTACTCACCGAAGCTGAGATAGATGTCTCGCCACTTTCCATTCTTCAAGCAAAGGCGAAGCTGCTCCATGAGTTGTTGACGTCGACTGTTCTTGCCTTGGACAAAAAGTCCACGTCCAGAAGTACCAGACCAGCACAGTCAACAACTTTACCACCAGGGCACTCTTGAGGTTTACATGCCAGCGCGCACAAACAGGGTTCGAAGGTCAATTGCTTGTATCCAAGAGTCGCCAAGAAGTGGCGCACAGTCCGACGTTCGTTCACAAGTCCGTAGACTGCGGCGCGGACCCGGATCAAAGTCCAGTAGGAGACATGCTGGCATAGAGTGGTCCCTGTCCACGTTTTTCAGGATCACTCTGCCCGAAGGCTGAGGATACAATGATGACCAGTCGGTATAGGAAAGCATATACACTGTAGGAGCCGCTGGTGTTGGGCTATACCTCTCCATCTCCAACGCATCCGGATCTCTATGCCCTACAGCAGGATCCACCTAGCTTTAGCTTTCCAATGAACCTGGAAGGCATGATCCTGTGCGGAAGATCTGCCAAGATGCGAGCCACCTCACCGGGATCCAAGATGAACCTCAAGGTTGTCTATCTCGGCTATTTTTGCTTTGCCAAGGATAGGGTCGGACAACAGGATCTGGCTGCGCGAGCTTCAGGCCTGGAGCCTTCACACATTCCTCTTGCCGAAGGAGGGCAAGCTCGGAGTGGAGGTCATGACGGCCATGAACCAGTGGAAAGCCAGTCTTCCAGAGAAGGGAGCTCATGAGCTGGGACCGCCACGCTGGGCAGTAGCAGCAGCAGGAGCTGTTGCTCAGTTTCTTCTGTCCGACCCAACACGTTGCCAACAGTTGCAGAAGTTCGAGCACTACCGCAAGAACACGCAGAAACTGAGCGACATGGAGGGGAGCGTCCAGTTAGCAACGGCCAAGGAAACTCGGGATCAGCAGATACTGCTCAAGTTGAGGCAGCAACTGGCTCGTCAACTCGAGTGGTGAAATGTGAAGGAGGAGAGTACAAGACAGGAGCTGCACCAGCTAACCCACTGGCTCGACAGATCGCGCGGCAATCTCATTCAATTGCGCGCTGAACGGGGACCTCTGAACTAAGTACCCCCATGGCCAATCCCCAGCCAATCCCCAGCCACTGCTGGCTCGCAGATGTGTTTGTGAAAGTAGCCGTGAGTGATGCTGCTTCCAGCACGTCACTTGACACTTGCTTGCTGCGAGCTTTTTCTTGGGCCAGTAAAGCTGCGTTTCGGTATTTATATAGAACCTACTCTCCACGCCATGAGCGTGCAGCACCAAAGTGTGCTGGGGAACGACGCGAGTCTCACTTTGGGCTCACGCGGATGCAACCTGCTTCCTCAAATCAAACTCCGCGGCCGCTGACACCGGGGTCCTGGAACCCACAGCTCAGTGCATGCGTACGGGCAGTCAACATGGCGCCAATCTTGGTGATGTTATTCGGGTGTGCCGGGTGTGCTGGGTTTGGGGCTGTTGGCTCCCTGATTGCCTCTCTTGGTGGGGTGGGTGCGCTGAAGGTGTGCTGGATTGGTTTTTTGTTTGCTTTGGAAGAGGCATCTCTGATCGACTTGGAGTGTGGATCGTGTCTTGGGGCGGGGGGGTGGGGTGGGTGTGGTGGGTTGTGGACGTGTTGGCAGCGCCCGGGTGTCTTGCTGACATGTTGGGTTTAGGATTTAGGGTTTGGGGTGTTGCACAGTTGAAGGCACGCGTGTGCTTGATTCAGCGCTCAAGTCCAGTAGTCCAGTATTCACTGAATCCGGCTGTGGTCTTACCCAGCATTCTGGGACGCCATGAACAGAATTTTCGGAGGAACAGCTCGACCGCATTATCGGCCAATCTCTTCACTGCAGGATCACGCTTGACTACTCACTGACCCCCCACAACCTTTATCAGGATCCAATCAACCGCCTCGCGAATCGTGGTGAAGAGTTGGGTATTGAGATGCTTGAAGGCAACACAGCACCAGGTGAGTTTTTTCATTATGTTGCAGATCAGATTGCATAGAGTCACCACTACAGCTGCAGTCTGCAAACGCTGGTGCAACTTAACGTTGGGATGCCCCCAGTCAGAGCCAATATTGGGATTACCTCCTTTGG